ACTCCTAAATGGACACATACAAGCAATGCATCTTCCTACCCAAACATTCACTTAACAGTGTATGAAATATGTGAAAACAGAACCACATCTTACTGACATCACAGGCTCTGACTTAGGGAATTCTACTGTATCGAAGCATATCTTACAAAAATGCAAGTAAAAATTTTTTTTGTAATCTGTACAACTCAGAGAGCAAATGAAAGTAATGCAAACGTTTGTAATGACCTAAGGTTCAAAATTTTACACACTCTTGAACAGGCTTTCGGAATGATTATAATTTTGACTGCCCTCACTTTTAGCCCTTGACTCAAAACACACTCAAGGTTCCCCTTTTTTAAAAAAAGTGTAGGCCTTTCAAAGAAAAATTATTTCTTTCTGGGTATTTTAGTTGTGTGTTTAAAATAGGAATCCTGTTTTTTAAATCCTGGCTTTCAGGAAATCCCAAGAAAGGGGGGCCATAGGATACCAGGGGAACGCGTGTTATAAAAAAACAGGAGACAGCACTAAAAAAAAATACTTGATGTTTCATGCTGGTAAAGCACCACAGAATTTTTGAACATTACAAGAAAGACAAAAAGCGCAGGCAGTCATTCCCCTGTCAACTCCCAGGTGCTCTCAGCAATCCAGGGATGCTCCATACATCGGACTGCTCCATCCTGCCACTCCACACCTGGAAATCAGCGACATCCCACCCTGCAAAAACCCGCTCCATCCCCAGCCAGCGGCAGCTGGTGTTTGTGTCACCGCTGGTGTAACAGCGCTGGTATCCACGGAACTTCGTGCAAAGCTTTAGCAGCGGATCAGTTTTGGAAAACACCTGGGAAAACGCGGAGGGAGGGGGACGGGGGGGGAACTCTGCGAGCGTGTATCTAAGCTGCTTTGAAACAGCTGTTTCGTAGAACACCTGACAATTAATCATTAAATAAAGGTGAGATGCTCATCCCCACCCCTCCTCGGCCGGGTCTCCCCACGCCCCGCCCCAGCCCAGGTGAGCCGCGCCCGGGGGGACCGGAGCGGGGCCGGGCCCGGCCGCTCCCCGCGGCCTCCGCGGCCCAGGGCGGCTCCTCCCGCCGCCTCCCCCGAACCCGCGCCGGTACCTGCGGGGGCTCCGCGGCCGCTGCTCCCGCTCCCGCCGGCGCTGCTGCTGCGGGACCGCCCGGGCCCGGCGGCGGGCAGGGAAGGGGAAGGGAATGGGAAGGGAATGGGAAGGGAAAGGGCGGGCGCGGCGCCGAGCGCTCGGCCCTGCCGGGCGGGGCGGCCGCGGGGCGGGCACAGCCCCGTCACAGGGCTGGCCCTGCCCGCCCCGGCACGGGTTCCAGCGCTGGTTTGAATTCCCGAGGCGGGAGGGCGGCGGAAATCCGGCCGGGAACGGGGCGGTGGGAGCCGGGAGCGGGATGCGCTCCCCGCCGAGGGTCGTGAAGTCTCACCCCGCGGGGAGAGCCTGGGCTAAAATAGGGCCCTAGAATTTGTTTGTCGTATTTTAATTTTATTTTTTCTCTCCCCCTCTTTCCCCCCAAGTATATACTGTCACGTGTACTTGACTTTCAAATTGAAATTAGAATCCTAAAGAGGCGAGCCTGGTATTTAACTCGTTATACACTCTATTGTGTGTCTCGATTAATTGCACCATAAACATTTGGGGGGAGGGGGGGAAGACCTTTTGTAGTAGGAAGGTAATGGCAGCACAAACATTCATTCTATTTAACTAGTACAACCTACCCATGCGATATGTTTTTCCTGTAAATGTTACTTGTAGTGTCTTCAAAAAACATTCCCCATTAACTCATAACCAGATCCTATCACAGAAAGCTGATTTCCCAATAATCCATGCAAATTCTGAGCATCAGGCAAGGATAGAGCTCACTTCTTCAGGACAGTATTTAGTTGATTTTCCATCACCATTTTACAGTACTGCAATACTGAGTTGTTTTTTTTTTTTTTCTTTTGCATTCCACAACCTTGGTTGAGTGAAAAAGTCGTTGAGCAAAAAGAGGCATGAAACTCATAGGAAGCATACTCAGAGACCAAGAAAACTGTAAGTAGTAATCGTCCTGGTAATTCAGAGCTTTTTTTCAGTATTTGCTTTGCACATTAGAACATAAAACACTAGAATGTTTTATAAGTATTTTAGAACAAACAGAATGATTTTCTTACTTCCTCTGATAAAGCTCTCAAAATAGTTAAAAATTCTACTATAAATCAATTTACAGCAAACAGACCAACCATACTTGGTTTTTATTTATTCATTTAGAACAATAAGGCAGGTGGTACATTTGTGGGAAATGCTTAACTTGGAATGTGAGAACTAAAGAATTATGAGCTTCACCATGGGCATTAGATTTACCTTCTTTTTATCACTAATAGCATCACTGCCACATCATACATGTCAGGTGTTTATAAAATATGTTCATTTTAACAGAGACAAGCAATTTTACGGTGTGAAAAAAGAAAAAACACCTCGAATGTCTGTAGGGTTTTGTGTAAAGGAGGTCAGATAATGTACTTAAATTTCTAAGAAAGGGAATGCTGTGGAAGATATTTCCTTGAATGGAAATTCTCCTTATCCACTACTTGTAAAGAGGCCAATGAAAAGTAAATTCTACATGGAACAAAAAGTTGCAGAGTTGGTTAGAAAACATAATCAGTGAAGAGCTTTAGAAATCCCTGAGAAGAGGGGAGTTGTCTTAATTCTATGGTATTTTGTGACACTGTGCATGGATGTAATGATTTTTATGTGACAAGTTACTCTGGTCAGCTGGAGCAGTTTTCCATTTTTTCCATTTTCCATTCCTGTGCAATCATTTGCACAGGACCAGCACTACAAATCCCACTGATGTTCCTGAACTAATAACACAATCTACACTGCAAAATAGTGTTATTAGAGCTGAAAAGTTTGTGTTATAGAAAAGCATTGGACAGCCTTACATAGTTGTTAATGTATCTAAGAGTAAATGTTACTTTTAAGTCATTTTAGGATAACCAGCTATCACCTTCCTTTTGCAATACTAACACCTATTGTTCAAGTTTCAAAGAGCAGAAGATTAGATAGTTGGGAAAAAAAAATGCGTTTTTCCTCAGTTCTGTATATTTTAACAAGTCATTTCCTGTTACAATAAGCGTTTGAGTGCAGCACTAGAAAAAAATGGAGTTATTTATATTCTCACTGAAACAATGTATTGGGCAACATGTTCGTTGATAGAAATTTAATGTTTCAAGTTGTGAAGAGAGAAGAGAGTTCAAGGAGAACTAAAGAGCTTCCAGATTGATATTAGTATCTGACAACTGTATTATAAAATGTAAATTAAAATTCACCAAACTGCAGCAAGCAATCAGTAATACTGATTATTATTATATCATTACAGTATTGTTATAATACTGTTGTAATGCTGGCTTTTTACTTGCCAGAACAGCAAAAGGATATTTAACAATATTCTGTTTGCTCATTCTGTTCCAATTAGATCAAAGTAGCAAAGTCTTCATGTTAGTACCTGGTTCCCCATAATCTCAGCAAATGACATCTACAAACCATAGCATACAGGGAATGAATGAAACTTTAAATTCAATGTCTTTATACTATTTACATTTGTTTTCTCTTGGCTTGTCACATTCAGTACTATAGAAAGAGCTACTGTGAAACACAAGACTCAAATTCTGCCCAAGTAAATTTTGAGTCTAAACCTGCAATGTTTTTAGTTGCTGTTCAGCAGCCACGTGGTATTGTAGCAAACACACCAAATTTCTAGGTTCTCTCTTTTTCTTCCAACTTGTACAGTTTGTCAGGGTCCTGAAGTTTTGCTTTTGGGTAAAAGAATCTTAGTTTTATCTATTCTGAATTTTGTTACCAAGCTACTATTAGGTCAGGTCAGTTCTCATGGTGGTTCACTTCCTGAGTGACTCGGTGTGACAGCTCTTTTCCAAATGTGCCTAGAAGGGGCTGCAAAAAAACCCTCAGTAATGTCGTGCATTAACTCTTCTGCAGCAATTCCAACCATAAATAGTTGCCAAAGACATAGGACAGAGTCATTCAGATCCCACTGATGTGTGGCAGGGCTCTTGCCCATTTTCTCCAAGTTCCCAGCAGTGTCACAATCATCAAAGGTTCGGTCAGTGCTGCTCTATCCCAACAACCTGGGTCCAGTCCAATTTGTGATCATACTCAACTAGGTTATTTAAGGGAGGGGAGAAACTTCTGATGGGGCTCTTTTGTTTTATTAAGCTGAAGTGAGGATGGTATTTTAGCCCAGACACCTTTTTTCCCCAGGTTTTGCATTAGAGAAAATGTGACAAAGCTGCACGACACAGCATCTGTAGCATTGCACCTAAACCCATTTTAGTTTTCCACCTTTTATTTCAACATATTTGGTCCAGGGCCATAATAATAATAGCAAAAATAAAATGACAATAAGAAGAAAAGTTTGCCTGTTTATGTAAATATAAACCATGCTGATACCAGCAATAGGTACTCTGGCCATACTCTCTCTTTTCTCTCCAGAAATTGCAACTGAATTAGACTTTTCTTGTCCCCCTGAAAAAGATGGGAAGAAAAGCTCCAGCAAGGCCAAGAAATATGCTGTATATTTAAAATTAGGTTGCAATATATGTTTTGGCTGATGTGATGGATAAGCAAAGATCAATCACTTACCTGAAAAAAGCTGTGCAAGGCTTTCACTCTATTTAAATTAGGGAAAAAACTCCCACTAGCTTCAGTGTGAATTCTGAAATTCCAGTTCTGTCCTTCAGCATTGTCCCATCCTCACTGCATGCAGACTTACAAGTATTTTGACTTTAACAGTCTCATATTTCATCACCACAGTTACTTTGATAAAACTTGTATTAACAGTATTAAAACTGTAATAACTTGACACAAGGGTGGGAAATGGCAGTAAAGTATTTCAAATACTTTTTGATTTAAACAGATCCCCCTCTCTCTAAACACTGGCTCAGTGTTTGAATTTTCCATATTCATATTTCATACAGATCAAATAAAAGTGACTAAAGCGTTTAACAAAAAAAAGTTTATTACCAAAATACAATATTAAAGTCAATACGTGACAAACTCCTGTAAAGCAAAATAAATTATTCTAACATTGTACAGTATTCCAGAAGGTAGTTAAAGTAGTACTACAGACTTTGCTTCATAGTTCCAAACAGTTGTCTATCAGGAACACAATCCTAGAGAGAGCTTAAGGCATGCAGCTTAATGTGCTGGATAACTTTATAAAACAAAACTCATCCTATTTAATAAGATACAGTATCAGAATTAACTGCAGTCTTTACATGTCAGTTTTCTAAATTTTTTTATACTTTGGCTATAAAAGCAGTGCCATAGTGTTACAATACCTTTTCTTAAAAAAATACATGTACCCATGTCCATGAATATCAAATGCAAATGTAAATTTCTATTAAATATATCTTAACAAATGTTACTTTGAGCACCAACTGTACATTTCTTCAAATGATTAAATAAGTGCTTATGAAAGAGGAAAATGCAATAACTCTGACTGAATCCCACTCTATTTTTCCAAGCATAAATCAGGAAGATGAAATATGCAAATATTTTTCAGTACAGCCCAGTCTGAATGAAGTTTGCTCTTTAGTGGAAGTATAGGCATTTAAAACAAAGCTGCAAGTTACAGTTCATATCACAGAATAAAATCTAATTTAAACAAACAGCACGTGAGTAGCTGATCACCTGATAGTGCTGTGACCAAAGATCCAAGAATATTTTAAAAGCTTAAAAAAAGGGGAAAACCCCAGTGTTTGTGACTTTGAAATGCACTTAAACCCCCTTCCAAAACATGCAGCCAAGCCAACCACGGGCTTTTGAAAGCAGATAACCTGAGGAACAATTTGCTTTCAGAAAAACTAAGTCTATGATTACATGCAGAACTCCTGACAGAGTCCATGGGAATTGAGTGGGTAACTAAAGGCAAGCAGCATGGAGACAGATAAAAAAATAAACCTCTGTATGTGGGAAAGAATTCTTTGTTGGTGTTTGTTAGGACTGATAACGGTTTTTAGTGGCAAGTAGCTTTCTACTATTTTATAGGAACATGTGGTCAAAAAGAAAAAAGCAACAAGATGGCAAAGAACTGAGAATAGACATGTCCTGCTCAGTAATCCCATGACACTGATTCCTGGTGCACTGCACACAGTGCTGCAAGTGTGCCTTCCACAGACACCAAAGCTGTTCATTTTGATTCAAGGTTAATCACTTTTTAAGTCTTGGTTCACTGTCATCTCCTTCTTAGCTTATGAATGCAAGTTTTTCACTTTTATCTTTCACTAGCTGAGCAACTTTAAAATAATTATCCCTTTACACAAAAACAACAATGTGGTAAATATTGTATCTGTCAATACTGATCGGTAGTTTAGCAATGGATCTCGCTGTCCTTTAGTTTTTCCAACAAATGGGATCTCTGAATGAGAAAGTTGAGATGTATTCCAGATAATGTAGGATTTTCACATGAGTTCTATACTGAAGGTAAAATATTGATGTGAGACAGTATGAATATCCCACTAAAAGTTTACTATCTCTAATTGAATTTGAGATAGTGTAAATAAATCGTGCTTTTTCAAATGTAAAACCCATCTGTAGGAATACAAAAAATAACTTTTAACTAAAAATACTGTGTACTTCACATATGTATTTAAAATGTCTCAAATATCTGAACACAAAAATGCTTTGACCTTATATCCTGACCAATTTTTAAAGTAAAATGTGTACTTTCGCCTTTCTAATTTATAAACAAAATAATAGCTATTTAACCTTAAGAATAGGTCAAATTGAGGAAATCTCATGAAAACAAATACCATTAAATGTACTTGAGGTCTTAGTGCTTTTACCCTGGCCTTTACATCTTGTGCTGCTTCATGAGGCTGTACAAAGACCTTTTGTTTTCTTTTCCTGGTCGCCACTTCAGTCAGTGATAACACAACAGACAGACACTACACGTGCCACCCTCTCAGATTTACAGCTGGAGCTGATTTCTGAGAGCAGAAATGTATAAATAAAGGAACCAGAAACCACTGATTTGCTAAGAGTAAGTAACTTTTTGAGTCATGAGCTACTAAAAATCAGGCAACTGCACCCCCATGTCGGGAACTAGGCGTGTTGCTGTGCATCTGCCACTCATTAAAGGCAGGAATACCTGCCTGATTTAGAAAGTTTAAATCTGGCTGCTAAAGGGCTTCTTTGGAAGTGCTACTACTTCACTTGATTGATATATGTATTTCAAACGAGTGAAGTAGCCAACCTTATAAATAACCTCAGCAAAGTTGCCAGGTAACTAACCAGTGTAATAATATCCCAAACTGATACACAGATGAATGTCTTGGACTGCAAACTGCTGTAACTATAAAAACAACAAACCAAAAAACCCCCCACGCTGTAATTTTAGAAGCTAAAGGTTTTAAGAGGGAGAGATTTCGATGTGTTTCTTAGAAAACAAAGTAATCTCTAATTCCCTTTATGAATCCATACTAGATGCAGTAGTAAAATTTATTCTATAAGTGACTGGATGCAGTTTTGGCTTAAGACATTGTTTGCCTTTTTTTTTTTTTAAATAAGATTTTCTACAGGAAGGTTATCTTTCAGCTCATTATTTCTACATTTACAACTCTGACAGACACAGGGGAAACTTAGCCACTCAGTGGGATTTCAAAGATTGCCAAAGCATGTAGGCATTTCTCAAAATCCCAATTTGTGCTCACCTACATCTTTTGGAATCTACATCACTTAGTGGCAATTATTATTCATATCTTGTTCTCATTACAAACATTGCTCATACATACTGCAAAGTAATCACCACAAATGGCAAGTGACATTACAAGGTTGGTTTTTTTAAACAGTTCTGCTGAATGTGTCAAGAAAACCATTACGAAACAACAGGTCATTATTATAAAGGATATTTTACACACTATGAGTTGGAAAAAATATAAGTTTTTTTTAGTGGGGATCCAATCAAATTATTAGCAAAATGCTTCTAGGCCCTTCAACTTCTGCTGCTCTACCTTCCAGAATCCAGTGAGGTTTATGAGATCATATTGTAAAATTTTTATCTGGTCTGTTGCCAGTTTCAAAAAAAGACAGTTAAAAAGTCCTTTGCTGAATTACTTGGAAAACAACAAAGAGGGAGGAAGAGAAAAGCTTTTCAACTGATACAAAGCTTTCACACCTTTGGGTTTTAATGTACTGTACTAATGCATTATTACTGATGAGTAACTGACAAGAAAAGAAGAAAAACCAACAATCCTACATTCTTGGCACCATATAAAGAAATAACAGGTTCAAATGGATCATTCTATTCATCACTCATTATATTTATCTCTTAAATGATTCATCAGTCCCTGGTTAAAATATTGTACTCCTACTGAAACAAGGACTCAGGATGGGAAATCAAGTTTTGCTAGCAATTCTTCTCTTTAGCAAGTTTCTCAGGCAAAAATTAGCAAAGCAAGAAAATATTCACTCTAGGAAATCCTCTTAACTTACTGCTTCACCTAGTTTGTATTTTGAGTCGTGGTGTGGTCCTTATTTAGGATGATGTTTATGATTTCACCCTCATGTTCTTTCATATGATCCAGCAGGTTTTCTTTGTTAGTAGACTCAAAACCACAAATGCAGCAGCAGAAGAGAAGAACACAGTATTCTGTGCCAAGATGGGGTAGAGTGGAGTTCTTTTCTAAACTGCATGAGGTATTCATCAAGTTAGGTTTTTCATTCTCATCAGAACCTGAAATTTCATTTGTAGTCTGGTTGATAGACTCTGTAAAAGACACCAAGTTGTCTGAACTTCCTAGTATAGGTACTGTACTTTCATCTGTGCCTTCTAATAAGGTTTTGTCAGTGAGCTGTCCTTGAAACCTGGAATAATAGCAAAAAAACAAAACAGATATCAAAATGTACAGTTGTTGCTTTTTAATAGGAAGTTTATTTTGGATCAGGGTTGGGTCTTAGGAAAATTCTAGATGATAGGGCTTGACAGCAAATCAGACATACCTACTGCTTTGTGATATGGCATCATTAATGGCCTTGTTCACTTGTTCATAGTTATAATTTTGGTCACTTGCATGTTTCCACATGTGGGACTTCAGGGATGGAGGATGGCTACATACATATCCACAGAGAGAACATCTAGGGGAAAATGGAGAAGGAAAAAGAGAAACATTTAGAAGTTAAATTTTATTAGGTTAGTAATGGATTAGTTCTTTCAAAAGGATGAGCAGAGAGATCCACGTGAATCTTCTTCCTGGTCCCCATTTTCAGTTTCAGAACTAGGCCACATTAGTTTGTAAAGTTCCATCCTGAAATATAAGACTAGTTTTAGGGTCTGAGAATGTTTAAGTCTGATTTTTCTGATTTCTTAAACAACTGAATTAAAATCTTATCTGTTTGGCCAGTTAAAACTGCTTAAACACTGCAAAAATGCAGTATTTCTGATGACTGCAGAAAGAGGGCGTGCGTTGGTGTGTGGGATCTGGCAGGCAGGTAGTGAGCTCTCTTTGCCATTGCTCTGAACCAAGCAGGAGCTGTGTAATCAGCACTGATAATGTCAGTTGAAGTAATAAAGTCTTTGCTGCTGTAGCATGTATTAGTTTATTTAAGGATCACAGAGCTGTTGAAATTGGAAGAGACTTCTTGAGATCACCTAGTCCAGTGCACCTGCCTCGAGCAGGATCAGCTACAGCAGGTTACTGAGGACAGTGTCCAGTCAGATTCTGAATATATTCACAGCTCACGAGTCAGACAGGTGACCATTTTCTCTGTAGAGTTTTCTATCAGCTTGGGTACCTCCAGATTATTCTCTATTTCCCTGCAAAACACTGTCTTATACAGTAAAGAACAAACCCTTGAAGAATAAATCCTATTTACAGGGAGATGTAGTGTATATGGCTGCAAATAACCCAAAACTGATCAAATCTCATATTAATTTTTTCATATATGAACACAGAACAGAAAATTTTTTTTAAATGTTTCTTAAAATGATAAATAAGTCACCTCAGCATAAAGGAGATGAGTGCATGACATCACTCCACAGCAGAACCTCACACATAGTCAAGATGATGTAGCTGCTTGCCTTTTGGACAGAGAGGCTCCTTTGCTCAGCTCCCTGCTACTTTGGAAGTTTTTAGTTTCCCAAATCACATGGAAAAGGCCAGAAGCAATCAAAGGTGACCCTGTGCTAATAAATTATAGCTAGGAAAGGATTTCATTCCTCAATGAGAGTAAGGTGTTTTCTGCTCAAGCAATGTGATCCCAGTAGGTACACTATGATGAGTCTGTTAAAATTACTACCATACTAGTCAGATTTTGTAAACTTTTAAGACCTTTTCAGAAGTATAACCTGGAAACATAAGAAGGCCTACACAAAAACACGTTATACACTACAATTCAGTAAGGTTTTATGACTTCTCTTAATGACAGTAGAATATACTCCCTAAATGCCCTGCAAATAATCATATATATTGGAAACTATTTCTGCTCAGCAGAAGATTGCAGAGAACAGCAAAAATCTCCCAAGTTGGGTGAAGGCACGGTACATTACCTTGCTTATGTAGCAAGATAATTCTGTCCTGCTGGGGAACAACAGGCATGTCCTTCTAGCTCACTTTTCTCTATTACTTGATTTGGAATGTAATATCCTATTTTTCTCTTTTCCTTCTAATTTGAAGCCTTACAAAGAAAATGGATGCTTTCAAAGATAGGCCAGTTCATTCTCAGATTGAGAATCTTAGTGTCTCTAATGAGGCTGTTAAAAAATAAATCATTAAAAATAAGATAAAAGGCAGACCTTATAGTTACTTTACAGATAAAATTAGGCCAAAATATTTTTTTTTTTTTTTTTTTTGCAAAACACAAAGTTCAACAAATAATCTTAATTCCATTCTGTGTGCACATGTATCCACTAGTCTTATTATACATATGATTTTTCTGTGCCACTAACACAGCTTGGTCAGTGGGTTGGTAACACAGTGAAGGAAGCTGCAGTCCAGTGTTTGTTTTTATCTCCTTCTAATTACTCTCTTATTTTTTGAAGTACATTAACTTAATTAATTTACTCATTAATTTACACTTAATAACTTACTAATAAGATTTACTTTGCTGAGAATACTGTGAGAATATTGCCAAATACTGTTGACTACTTTAGTGTAAAGTTCAAATGAGACACAAAAACTCCAACAATTTTAGCATGATGCACTACAGTTAATGATCATATACTTAAAAAATATAGTTACAGTATATGTGACACATTCTCAGAGAGACAAAATTATTTACCTTTGAGTTCAGTAGTAGAAGCCTTTCAGTTCCATAGCATGATCTGCCCTACAGGTTGACTTATGGTGAATTATTAAACTTTACTATTCAAGTGTATCCTAAATTGATCTACCAAGGAAACAATTATCTTTCAGCTTTTGATAGACTTGGGGATGCATGGACCAAAGTGTAATCTCTGGTTACAGTAAGAGCACTCAGCAATACTGTGTGAAGTATGACAGCAGAACAAATAGAACTTAATACTTCTTGGAACATTTTAGGGGAAAAGGCAGTGGAAGGACTTTTAAGTTGTAGAAGAAGCTTTTCTTGAGAAGAAACCTTGATGTGAATGTGCTTTATTTGCATTCTCCCTATTGCCTTTAAAATCTTCCACTAAGAAGTGTTCAGAATATTCCTGAGTTTCTTTCCTTTCCCAGCTTTTTTGTTGCAAATTAGTAGTAGACAATTACACATATTTGTGCCAACTTTCTCATATATATATATATATATAAACCACACATACCTATGGACAAACTGTAAAGGACACTCATCACTTAAACATAATGACTATTCATACTAATTCTTAACTAGGTAATGCCAACCTGGATTCTAACTAACATTTATATGCAAAGGCTGTGCTTAGACTAGGATATTAAACAAAGCCAGAGAACATTCCTGGATACTGGAATTTACCCATCTATAATGTTAAATATTAGAAGTGCCATGACATGGTTTTGGCACATGCATCCTCCCAAACAATTCCAGGCATGCTTTGGTAATTAACACAGTCCAGAAACTACTTGCAATAGGCAGTTTATATGCAACCACCACATTCTGGGAAGAAGAAGCTGAATGCTGTAGCAGAGGGAAGCCGTGGACATGTTTAATCAGCCAGCATAAACACTGCCTGGGAATGCCATGGCAAATCTCTCCCTCAAAAAAAAAGCCAACCCCAAACAACTTTCTGGAACAAAGAACGAGTCTAGGAGGGAGGATAATAGAATCTGAACACTGCTTTGTTTCTTAACATAACAAAATGAGTACTATGACAGCTTTTTGCCAAATGAGAGCCGTTACATACTTGTACTGTTCCATTAGCTGCACTGCCTGATGCTCCTGGGGGTGCCGCCTCATATGGCATTTCAAGCTATTCATATTTGTGGTGGCGAAGTCACAGACTCGACACCTGAAGAGACAACAAGAAGTGAACTAATCTGACAATTAACTGCTAACACTGTTCTGAAAACAAGAGAAAGCAAAGGTACCTAGAAAGATTACAGTTCAAGGCTAACAGTATTTGCAGAAGTCAAAGTGATGATGCTGACCTGTAATTGTTGGGCAGTGAGAATCTTTTGCAGCCCAAAAATGCCTCCACCTTTCAGCAGGAATCCCTGGGCATGGGGACTATGTTCCTTCCTTACACCTATCTTGTGTACCCCTCCTGATGTGGGCAAGGACCACTAAGTGTAAGGGGGATGAGGATGCAGTGATGGGATGCAGCCCTGATCCAAGTTACCTGGCTGTGTTGATCAAAGGCACAATGTGACCCTAAGAGCTATAGGGGACAGACTGGATTTAGACATGAGCCTTGTTCCTCCAGAATATGTGTTCTACTTAATGCAACAGCAATGTTTCTCATGCCATTTTAAAAGTCAAACTATATATTTAGTAATGAAATGTCTAAGTTTCAGGGCATTATAGCTGAAATAGAAATCAGTGACATGATCAACACGTTTAGCTTCAAGTGCCCTCAGACAAGTGTGTCTCATCACGCTGTCCAAATTATGTTGGGGGTTTTTTTCTTACTTCTGATGCACTATCTTTGTATAAAAACAATACATAAACCACTCTGAATTTAGATTTAGATCCACGGATTTGGATCTCAAAGTATTGCACAAATTCTATGCTATTCATGAATATCAATATAGTACCACAAAACCTTCCTGTATAGAACATATTTAAGTGGAAACTATCAGCTAAAACTCCTATATATTTGTTAGGACTATAGTTGTTGGTTTTTTTTAATGGTAAAATGGCTAACATTTATAAAGTCTAGTCTATAGTGTGGAACAGTTTAAGACTGCAGGATACTTTGCATGAAAATACTCGCTTTATTTTTGGAAGGATTTAATTGTGCAGTATTGGAATCCAGAAGGTATTAAATCTACAAAAACACATCATTTGAGGCTGTACAGCTTAATTTCCAGCAATTTTTGTCAAATTATAAAGTATGTTTAGAGCTCTAAAAATGGCATCAATAAAGTAGGTTGCTATTTGATACTATGGAGGGCTTGAGAAATACATGTTTCAGAAGGAGAAATACCATAAATCCTGGATCATTACGGATTTTAGGCTGTTGCTTGAATACCCTGCCAGTTCTTTGAATTTGTCTAAGGAGATTATGAAAAAATAGTAAGAAAAGCAAGCCACATCAATAGTTTATATTTAGTATGCAGCAGTTTGTATCACCAATGGAAAATTTCCAAGGGTTCCTAAATCAAACCAGGCCAACTAACACCAATTCGAAAACTACCACGTACAAGACACTCTGCAGTATCTGCTGTTCCAACCTCACAAGTCATAAATAATGGCAAGAGGGAAGATACTGAGGAGAAAAACAATCTGTTTGTATTCCACGTTTGCTCTCTGAGCAAACATCTTGCAAATTTTTGCTAGTGTTCTGGGATATCATTATAATGCACAAATCAAAATACAACATGTCTTCTGGGTTTGTTTATCCAAAAGAGAAAGTCCCTGGCTGAGCTCAGCATTTCAAGGTGTTGAGTTTCCAGAACTTGTATTAAAAAGTCAGAAGTATATCAGCTCAAAAAGCCCATTAAGTCTGATCTATTTTCTAGCCACTAGAGAGGGACAGAGATCCACACTGAATGAGCACAGATTGAATTTGCAGGAATTTATGCAGCAACCAATAGAAAAGTGCAGGATTTGGTTTTTTGCTGTGGACCTGAGCTACAGTATTACACATGATTTTAGATATCCAAGTTTCTATATAAATCCATATGATACCCTCGTAGAAAGTTCATAAAATCTGATCCTAAGTGAGTGTGGTAATAGTGTTTGAAACTTGTGAAAAAGATGAGGGGTCTGGCAGCAAGATAAAGGGCAGACTTTGCCACACTCTGTAGTAGCCAGTGTATAAAGCAGTAATATGACAAAGAAGAACATTTTGCAACAAAGCAAATCCAAAATGAACTTAAGCATGCAAGGATTTTGAGAAATGTCTTATTGCTGTTGGCTGAAGTCCAATATTACAATGTAATTATTTCCATTTCCACATGTGAATGCTTCAAACTGAAAACAAGCAATAGACTGCTACAGCAAAAGGTACATTCTGGAAAAATTAGCAAATCTTAATTACATGGTTTGAGTCAACCAGCAAGTGTGGCTCCTTCAAATCTGCAGTAGAATTATGTAATTGCACTTCTTTAGCAATGTCTTCAAAATTGCATGAGCAATTCAGTAACCTTCAGAGGCTGGCAATAATTGAGACACTTACCTGTATGGCTTATCAGAGTTATGAATTCGTCTGTGATTTCGTACACCAACGTAGGTTGTGCTTGTGTAGTCACATACATCACACCTGTACAGTTTCTGAACTGAAGACTTATTTCCTGTATGAAACAAAATCCGTTATTTTAGAGAGTTGCATCCAGCATTGTAAGGAGTTCTCAGATGAGAATTTCATCACAATTGAGTTACGAAACATGAATTAACATTTTAGAGTAATAGTTTTGAATATTTAATGCTTTTAAAGTATTAAACAGGCAACAGACATAGAAATAATAAAGGTATGGTTTATTATACCATGCTGTTCTGCATTAGCCCTGCCATTTACTGGAATTATTAAAATTTTAGGAAAACACATTCTTTATGTGGACACTTCCCTTCTTCCTGCAGTTGGGTAAAATCCTGTCCTACAGCAAAAGGTGATGAAATGTGGGAACTGCTGAACCCAGCAGTTTCACTGCTTTGCAGAATGCATCAAATCAAAGGAAAAGATGGGGATTGAGAAAGGAAGAGTTTCAAACTGGCAGACACGGAAAACCAAAGCAAAAGGCCTCCCAAACCCTCTAAATCCTCTTCATCATCCATATATACTCACACTCTCTGAAGGATATGAGATGATAAAAAAAATAGATACTGACCAGATGTCTTAATAAATAATTTGGAACTTCTCCAAATTACTAAAAAGCAATTGTAAAAAAAAATCATTTTTTCTTTCCAGAATGAAAAAGACTCTTGAAAAATTAATGGTTGCAGAGACAGAGGCTAATGACTCCTTAAACACAGGAAAATGTGTGCCCACAAGTGCACAGTTGGAATATTTTTTGAGATGTGTGTAGACTTAAACAGCCCTGTTCCTGCTCCCTCACTGAGTAATGGAACTGGTTTGGGTTAAGGTATTAACATTTGGGAAGAGGGATGGTATTTTTACGCAGGTAATTTTCCCATTCCCATGCAGCACTTCATGCTTTTTTTTTTTTAGACTGAATCTTTTCATTATCAAAACAGCAACTGAGAATCTTTACAGTAAAACTCTAATTTTAAGGAGACATTTCTTTTTCCCCACAGGTAGGCATTGAATTATGTAAAAAAAAAGTCTTAGAAATATTGTCCTGAGGGATATAGTCACACAGCTAACTGAAGTAGAAAGGAAAAATTACCACTAATAAAACTTGCACCCCAAAATTCAGCACTTTTGGTTCAAGATGCAAAGTAATCAGGTAGGGCTAATAACCCCAGAGGGTTATTATGAAGAATATACAGTATATCATGTAAAATAAAAGAGCAATCTGAATACAAAGACAGTCTGAAATAAAATTTGAATAATTCTGTGTGTACCAAGATAACAGAAAATATATTTCCTATTTTTCACTTTAAAACATGACACAGTGCTCACTCTTCTGGCATTCTTATAAAAAATAATATGGAAATAATATATAACAGGCACTCTTTGAAAGTCAACCTTAGGGCAGAATGTATTGGAATTTTTCCTACAATATGCTCATCTAGTAAAATTTATTAGTTTTGGTTTTCCTTTAATGTAAATTATCAAAATAATCTTAATTATATGCTTGGAACTTATATTTCTACAATTAATTTTTTATGAAAGCACATTTATGTAGAAGATCTCAAATGAATCGAGGACATCCACTGGGCTGCAGATCCATGGGAGAGCAGGGACTGTGTGAAGCTATTCCATGCTCCACTTGAATGGGTTTTCCATCTTAAATTCTGCAGTTTTAGAATAAACTGCTTCCAAATGCATTTTCTGTTATGAATTTGGTATGTTATTGGGCAGGCAGCTTAAAACAAACAGTGTCTAATGAGATTTTTAAAGCATTATGCAAACATATTAGCTATGGCATAGTTCTGTGTGGCTCACACCCAGTAGCACACACTTAGGAGCAATTATTTATACCAATCACTACTTTGTATTTATTCCTTCAACAAGATGCACATAAATTATAATACATCAAATAATCCCTTGCTGTTACAAAATAGCAGTCATGTCCCTCATCCCCTTCACTGGCTTATTTCTTGTGGGTTTGGGGCCTCTTTTGCTTTCTGGATAGAGAATATCAGGTCTCTTAAAAGTGAACATGGAAATGACAGATCTTTTTTGTAGCAGCAGTAACAGGTGCTCCTGTAATGCTGCTTATTACCCTATTCCTTCATTATTAGACATTTACAATCTGATCATATGCAGTGTCATAATGCTCCCCTTTAATTTATTGTACAACCATGATGAATAAAGAGACTTTTAGGACTAACTATTTCATAGACAAGAAATGAAACTGTTCCAGCTCAGGCATCTTTCACATAAACAGATGCTATGCCATAAACTTCTTTGTTTTGTGTCGCTTTATAGGGATGACATCTGTTTGACAAGAGATTGCTGTACTGCAGTGGTGTTGCAATTTGATTATAAATTGGTTCTGAAATAATTTAAGCATTCCACAGTATGAGTTAATAAAAGTTCAAAAGGAGAACAGTTTTCATTCAAGCCACATTACTTAATTTCATGTAGGGTAAACAATCAATTAAAGTGCATGGTTGTAACACTTGGATAAGATAATAATGAGTAAAAAATATTTTAAAAAAATCTCTGAAGTAATTACATTAAAAGCAGGCAGATTTCTCGAACAGGGGCTCCCCTGGCATGGAAGTTTAGTTACAAGATCAGGATATAAACGGTAAAACAACTTCATTAAAACATACTAATTTCAAAAGCAGATAGTCCTCTTGATTTTCAGTCACATTAACAGGACTTCATCTACAAAGGTACAGTATTTCCCAAAATCTGACATGTTTCAGGCATTGCAAGATAGTTATATTCCTATATCATGACATCTTTAAGAATACTGGTTTACAGCAAAAAAAAACATTGTCAGAAGTAATAGTCCAAGCTGTAACCAGCTAAACTAACAATGTTTTATTTCCTATCACTTCCATTAAAATATTTATGCTATTGCTTCTGAAATAAAACCCCCAGTACTTAATGGGAAATGTTCCCACTACCAGCAGACTCTCCCCAGCCATCTTCCTGTTTTCTCCTGACTTCAGATGGCTCTCTCAGGCTTAGGTGTACTAAGCACTGCAGATCAACCTCCTGAATTTAAATGCCTTCTGCATTGATGAGAGCAAATAGGAGCTGGGAAGGGTCATTCTACCTGAGGCTAATAAGGTAATTAGCTTTTAAATTTATACTGAAAGCCAGAAACAGAGTGTGAGCTAAGAGAACAGAAGGCAAAAGTTATGGATCTCAGTCTATTCTGACATGGACCATGTTGCTTTGGAAAAGCATTGCTGGTTCAAGCCATCCCCCCTGGCTCATGCTGGTTAGTCCCTTTTCTCACAAGGAGTTGCATTAATTTCAATAACTTTTGCACTCACTGACCAGCTGTAGAGGAGAGAGTGGAACCCAGAAATTTCTACTGCAACCTAAGTACTATTAGAGTGCACATTTTGCTGTCTAAACAAACAAGAGAGCACAGTTAGGACAGGAAAGAGCTATGTGCACAAAATGGAAACACTTCAGCTCACAGTTGTTCAGAGACTATATAATTACTAGTATTTTTTCACAGTCCTCTAAAATTTCAAAGTGTTAATAATTACAGTGTTGCCTTCAAAATAAAAATGCTGTAAATATTTTCAGTAAGGGTAACTCACCAGAGAAGAGGATGCATTTACATTGCAGTGATAAATACTGGGTCTCCAGGATACTCACAGGATTTTAAGGCCACGTTTTCTCCTACAGAATTTGGTTATTTTTTCCCCTGATAACCTTAACACATCAAGGGTTTGAGGTTTTTTTGTTGCTGTTGTTGTTTGTAAAACAAACACTATTACATTATAAGCAGATACACAGTTAAACAAACATCTGAGCAACCTGGTTAGTGAAGGTGTCCCTGCCCATGGCAGGGGTTGGAATAAGATGAGCTTTAAAGTCCCTTCCAACCCTTAATATTCTGTGATTCTATGAAAATCCATACCTACTGTTACCTTGGCAACTATTACAGATACAGGTTGCATATTTAGAATGCCTTACATTTGCCTCTCTAGGGCTAAAAGAAATTACTCATTTTGGACATTACCATAATTAAACAGAAATTTCTAAACACAGAAGGGATGGAATTGTATGTATATGCTGACAGCAAACTACATTACCATGGTGACTTTAAAAAAAAAAGGCTTTCTTTTGTTTACTGTAGGTGATTTGAAAAATACTGTAGCTGCCGAAGGAAGGAAAAAATTCAGAGTAATACTCTGTATCATTTGTGTTTCACAAGAAATACAAGGGTCAATTACAGGGGCTAAAACCATCTTACCTAACAATTAATGCTACCTCAAGACTGACTATGGTAAATTTTTTACACTGAAAAAAACACACAGTGAAGGTTATGATCAGGCATGAAAACATTTCAGTGTGAAGGAGACGTTGAAACAAATACAGCAAACAGAAGTAATGTTATGAATGACTTTTTGTAATTTCAGGTGTAAATATACACAGTACCTTCTCTGTCATCAACTTCATTGGAAACTATGAGCTTGTTAGATGTAGCTGTTGAAAAGATTTCTGGAAGACTGTGTTGTTCTCTTTCGTGATTTCGCAGTTGGCTCTGAAAAAAAGGGTTTCCCATGTTTAAATATACACTACAAACATACAGTGATCACTTGAAATGCTGCAATCATCTGTGACATTGTTACTCAAGTTTTAATGACAACTGTTATAAAATGTTAACATATATACAGATTATCCCTTAGGTAATTTTACTAGAAATAAAACAAATATCATGGATTAGTAACATAAAGGATTGATGACAATGACCGAGAGCATTCTATGATTTGTGTTCATTTAGAAAACAGATTTCCTTCTTCCCTCATTCCCACAGACAACTGGCCAGTGTTCTTCCTCCAAAATTATTATACTCCCAAAGCAGTATTAGATTAGAGGTTAGAGCTTATGTAAAAATTAACTCAATTTTTGTATTGCCTTGTGACTTAATACGTTGGTCCTGTTTCTGCTTGCCTGGGGAAGGGAGGGAAGAGAGAGCCTTTTGCTACCCTACCTGTATATTTTTTCAAACTAAGTGTAAATGACAGTAAATATGGGATAGGATTGCCTACAGGAGTTTCAGCTGTAGAGCTCGATACTGATGCAATCTATTCCATATTCCTGAGTCCTGAGCTGAGTACACAGGGACACACTCACCAGCACTAATGCTTGAAATAGCAATTAGGAAAATGGCAGAAGTATATTATTCTGCTCTGGTATGTAATCTTTCAAACCTAAGTTCTACAGAACATCCAGACCAACACAACAACAGAGAAACAAAGAAAATGGTTTCTGCTTCAGTGTGTCTTGTGGTACTCTCAAATGCCATGATTACATTTGCACACTCACAACTGGCAGACATGTTTGAGCATTCTTTTGAAGTTTCAACTATAAAGTTGTCTGATAGTTTCATTTCCTCCTGTAGTTGTTACATGTGGGCAGAGAAACAACATGATGTTATTATGTCCATAAGATGATTCTCAGGAAAATAACTTAAGTGAGGAAGCAAATTTATTTCAGTGGGTAACCCAGAATAATTACAGCTGAATTGTATATTGCTGGCAGTATCCAGCAACTAATTGTAATTACAACGAAGCCAGGATGTCAGACTGAATTAAGTTAGAGAGAGGGATCACCGATTATTAAAAAAGTAGCAAATTAGGTTATTTAGCTATTACAGGCAGGCACAGGAAAGAACTTTACCTTGTAATGGAAGGATTCCTCACACTGCTTGCACTGGTACATCCTGGTTTTGCAGTGGTTGATCATGTGGCTCTCCAGGTCCTTGCTGTTGTCAGCGATGTGCTCGCAGATGGGGCACTGGTAGGGCTGGCGCTGGCGGTGCACCCGCAGGTGCTGTTTGATGTAGCCCTTGTTGCCGCTGCTGTAGTGGCACAGGCGGCAGCGGTAGGGCCGCTCCACGTTGGGGATGTATTCCACCAGGTTGCTGCCAGGGACATTCGCGTCACTGGCGTTTTGGCATTGTGCGTTGTCTTGGAGTTCTTTCAGAATGTCGTCATCAGAAGCGTTCTGGTCTGTCCTCTCCTTCAGTTTTTCGATGACGGTCAGCAGTGACATGCTGATGCCCATTTTAATTGGGGCTTCTGATAACTCTGGCCTGTCTTTCTTTATCTCCACTATTGCACATTCACTTTGGTTTAAGCCACTAAACTCCTCTGAAGGATCCTTAAGTGAGGATACCACTTTAGAATGAGCCACGCATGGGCCATCAGCTCCTCCCTGTCCTGCACCTGCATCCACAGCATCTTCCCCAGTCAGAGCCCTGAAGCTGGACCGTGTCAGTTCTGCAGCTCTGATGGGCATTGTAACAAGAGCTTCTGCTGCTAGGGAGTGCAGCCGTAAAGACTCTGAATTTGTCCTCCTTCGTGCAGGAGGCACATTTTCATCAGCTGTTACATTTTTATTAGGGCTTAATTCATTATCTTTCTTCTCAGTATTATTCCATTCTATTATTACTTCTTGAATTTCATCTGAACGATAAACTTCAGGTTCTTCACAGGTAACATGGGACTCCTCAGAGATTAATTTTTTTTCTGTGTCAATGTCAGTGTTCATCAAGAATGGCTTTTGTAAGACACTTTCTTCAGCACCTGGCAAACGCTCTACTATTACATTAACGTGACCCTTTTTGTTTGGACTACAATTGATGATTTTCTGTGCTGATGACAGCAGGCTGTCAGTTATCATATTGTCCGGTTCTGTGTCTGATATAGTCTCCTCTACAACCTCTGTAGTAGGAGAATGCACCACAGACTCAGTTAATATCTCCTCCTCTTTTACATTTGTTCCTATGGGTGACTTACACGACAGTTGCTCAGAATTGCAAATCTGAAGCTGAAGAGAAGGTTCACTGTGGATATCGAGTTCACTGTTTTCCAAAGAAAGGACAACTGTATCCACGTTGTGAGGTGTGTGAGTTACAACTGTCTCTGACAAGCTGGCAGTTTCATTTTCCTCCTCAAAGATGGGGTAGGAGCAGTCGACCTCCCCGGCGTGTTTCCAGGCGTGTGTTTTGAGCATCCTTTGCTGGCCACACGTGTAGCGGCAGATGAGACACCGGTACATGCCATACTGCTCGTACGTGTACCACTTCCTCCTGCCCACCTCGGGCACAGGAGCAGACTGACTTCCATCTTTACATTCCACATTTCCTGTCTGATCAGTCCCTGATTTGACACTTCCTTCCACCGGCCCCTGCAGGAATGAACTGGCGACATTTACGCACTGCTGCGCTTTTGTCTGGATGCTGTTTTTACCACCGTTCTCGTGGTAATTTTGGAAGTGGGATTCAAGCTCTTCTTGGCTCTTGGAAGCAAAATGACATTCTGAGCACATTAATATCACCTCATTTTTCTGCCCGTGTTGTTTTATATGTTCTTGTAGTGTTAAGAGCGAAGGTGATAGAAACTTACAGAGACTACACTGGTAGCACGTCACTTTTTTTTTGCTTTGTGGAAGACATTCAGTCACAAAATAATCTGCTTGTAACTCTTCAGTCTTTTTAGTAGCAATCACTGACAGCTCAATTGCTTTAGCTGGGATTTCACAAAGATCCTCTGCGTCCAAGGACTGCGCAGGAGCATCGGGATGGGAACGTTTCTTCCCTATTAAAAGGCATCTTTGTGACTTCTCACTTTCAACTATTTTGCTCAGTTTCTGGATAACATGGATGAGTGGATCAGTTTTACATTTTCTCTGATCTTCGCTGTTCTGAAGTGTTGGGCCAATGACTGTCTCCGAAATCAGCACAGCTTCCTGCTCCCCAATATTTGGCACCAATACTGCAACAGTGCTTCCTTCTTCCATAATACCTGGGAGAAAGGGTTTGTAAAAAATTAACATTTATACCTGCACAGTAATAAAAAGACAACCTAGTATTATTTAGATTTCCCTCTCTACTAAGTATGGAAGCCTAATGCCATCAACTTAAGGAAAACTTTCAGGATGGCTACAGAAATAGCCAAGGATGCTGAGGACATTTCATGGATACTATTCAATACAGCTGGACAGCATAATTCCAAGAGAGCCTCTAACAGCCTGCCTCCAGGTTGTACAAGGGCAATATAAGTATTTTTAAGTATAAGTTGATGATTAACAGTGATACAGCTATTCTCTTTTTCTTTACAAGATCTGCACATTTGAATGTTAAACACTTAAATACCAAACAATAGTCCCTCACATATTTATGTCTAAAAACCATGGTATGATATGAAAATGTATTCCTAACATACTTTGATACACTGATGTTTCCTAAAGGAAATGACAATTTGCAACAATGTAATTTACAAAAATAAGCAATTTTTTCCCTTCAAATGTTAGGAGAGGAAAACAATTCTGGCATTCACTTGCATTAGTCATTTAACTGTGACTATTTTAAAGACTGTTCAAATGTCAGATCATACTACTCATTATAAATGTCTTTTTCTAGAAAACCTACTAATTGTAGCTTTTTCTACAATTTCTTAATTGTAGGAAAAATAAATTGGTACTGAAGTTGAAAAGAGCAATTCTTTTCTGTTTTGAGGGAAAGCTATAGGCAGTAACTATTTCCACTTACACTTCCTTTAAACATATCAAACCATAAACCACAGGCAATAATGTGGTACTGTTGGAGGTTAAATTAGAAGCCAGTATATTTAAATCTACATGAAAACATATCTTGTGATGTGGGCAGAGCTGTAGGGGGGTGTGAGGGAGCTGGACAGAAAGTCTTACAGTAAAATTTACTCCTGAAAAAATGTCTATAAATAACCTATTCAAGTGCCTCTACACACACGCATATGTATTTTATACATTTTTTAATATACTATATATAAAACTGAGATCATAACGATTATAGATATTTACCAGTCATCCTTGAAAATTTATACCAAATTCTTTCGTGTGGATTTTTTTTTTTTTTTCAAAAAAGATGCAGGGGGCAAACCAGAACTTCCAGAATTGGTCCTACAGACCCATAAAATCCACTCTTTTCTGCTTATGGATTTACTATACAGCAATATAGTGCATAGACCTATGAGAGCAGGTTCTGTGTTGTATGTTTTCCACTACAGAAAAATTCCAGGCAGAACTACTCAAGTTACCTTTATTTGCCATTCAACTTAGAACTCAGGTTATCATCAGAACTATGGATATAAGCAGTGTTAGTTTTTTAGTGTCGTTTGCACCTCATGTTAAAGATTTCAAGTTGAAAACTATCACTTGAAAATCACCCTATTCATTTACACAATAACACTTTGCTGTTTATTTCATACTGGCTGTAACATGTTTAAAAACCATTATGAAGAGTGAAGAAATGTGCTTTTCCCTCTGAAAGCAGATTTAATGAAGTGCTCAAAGGAATAATGTCTACTTGAAATATTTTCACTTTGATGAGTTAAGGAAAATTATAAGGACTTTATACTACTACTTTAAATTACACTTGGTCCTTTTAAAACTTTGTTAAGTGATGCTAAATAGGCAAATACATCCCCTACCTTTTTCATCTGAAAGCAGCATAAAAACTAAGAGGAAATCCTCTAGACAAACCATAAAAGGAATATGCTGCCATATAGTGTTGCTATGTCAAAAATGCAAAGAGAGAGGTGCATTGATTTGGGATGCTCTCAGCTAATCACAGTTATCAGATGCATAACTATGGTATATATGTATATATACCACATATATATATATGTGTTACATCGCTATTTGTTTGGACTGACTTTAATGCTTACGACCACAGACTTTTTTTTTAGAGGGACTATAAGATCTGTACACAAATTATGTGGAATTTAGTGTTTTCAGTACAGATGATTCAATCTCCCAAGGTATAAAACTTCAGCCTGGCAAGTGCCTGTGCCAGCATGTACCCTTGACACGACCTACGCAGGACTTAAAAGAGGGGGTGTGGGGCTGACAAAGGGTCCTGGAGGGGAAGATCCAGACCGGAGGAAAACGCCCGCTCGGGCAGCAGGACCCAGCCAGGGCAAAACGCCTCCGGGTCTGGAAAAGCCAAACCACGCTTTGCACAACCACCTGACCCGGAGAGGCCGCTCCGATCGCATCGCGGCTCCCGAGGGCAGGGAAACTGCACCGGCCGGGTCACCCTCCCGCGGGCCGGCCGGGCCCAACCGCCGCCCTCCCCTCCGGGGAGATCTGTATAAAGCGGCCCCGCGTTACATCGCGCAGGTGCCGCCGCCGCGGCTCCATCGGCGGAGCAGCGGCCGCCGCTACAGCGGGGAGCTGGCCACAGGAGAGGCGAGGCGGTGAGGAGGGAAGGGAAGGGAGGGGAGGGAACGGAGGCGACCCCGGCCCGGGGAGGCTCCGCCGGGAGCCGCTGCAGCCCGCGGCTCCGCACATGGGCAGCGCCGCGTCGTCCCGGGGCCGGCTCGCCCGCCGCCGCGCATCGCGCCCTGCCTGCCACCCGCTCGCCGCCGCCCGCCCGCCGCCACTGCCCGCCGGACCGGGCCAATCCCGCCCGGCTTTGACCGGGATTAATGGGGAAAAATCCCGTTTTTCCTCACCTCCGGCCACCGCTTCAAGATGGCGACGATGGAGACCGGATCACGTGACCCGCGGGCCCGCGTCAGGTGACCGGCGGGTGGGCGCTGCCGCCGCGTCAGCGCCGCCTCCCGTTGCCATGGAGACGGGGGTTGTCACAGCCCCGGTGTGGGTGACAGGGACGCTGTGTGACACGACGCCGGTGTGTGCAACAGCCTTGGTGTGTGAGACACTACCAGAGTGTCACTGCCAGCCACCGGAGTGTCAGAGCCCTGGTGTGTGTGACAGTGCCCGTGTGTGATACACGATGCCCATGTATGTGACACTGTGACACAGAGCCAGTGTGTGACATGCAGTGCCTGTGTGTGACACACAGAGCCAGTGTGTGACACAGTGCTGGTGTATGTGACAGCCCTGGTATGTGTGACACTGCCAGAGTGTGACACAGTCACTGGAGTGTCATAGCCCTGGTGTGTGTGACAGTGCCCGTGTGTGACACCCCGTGCCTGTGTGTGTGACAGTGTGACACAGTGCCAGTGTGTGACACACAGAGCCAGTCTGTGACACAGTGCTGGTGTATGTGACAGCCCCGGTGTGTGTGACACTGCCAGAGTGTGACGCCACACCAACATGTCACAGCCCTGGTGTGTGACAGCCCTGGTGTGTGACACAGTGCCAGTGACACTGCCAGCAGTGGCAGAGCCACTCAGACTTTAGGCAGTCTCAAGGTGACTGGTGTTCACCCTACAGCCCCACTGCCTGGGTGATCTCTTGGCTTTCCTTGGCCAACAGTCCCATGACGTTCCCATATCCAGGGCCAAGCCAGGCAGCACAATGCCACTCAAGAAATGGTATAGTCTCCCAAAAGGTGTTTTTTTTCAGCAAGCTTTGGATGGTCAACACCTGTAGTTAAAAAAACAACAACCCCCACATTTTGGGTCTAAAACGGTGAATCAATGCAAATGTTTCCAAACGCAAACTGCGGAAAACTGTTGAGAAGGTTCAGTACTTTTAAGTGCACAGAAAAACAGAGTTTTAAGCATACCCTGCATGTCAGGGGCAACCTTAGAAGCTATGTACCAAAAACGTTATTTGCTGTGGGTTTTTGAGATACTGCATATAAATTGAAAGGTCAGGAGAATAATGAGCTTCAAAAGTGACTCATGGTGGGGTGATGACAAGTAAAATCAAATGGTCATTTCCAGAAAAGGGCTCAAAGTGTATTAATGTGGATGGGTCTGCCCTTGGATTTGGAGGGATCTGGTAAAATTGCAGGAACTTGTAGAAAGTTCACTTCCTCACACATCTGAAGTTTTATTAATGGTTGTATGTTGTTTCATAGAGATATGATCTTTTTGAAATATTTGCAAATCAGATATTATTCAAGAGATGGATTTGGCCATACTTTCAATAGGTATTCCTAATTTTACTTGACTTCTTTGATTCCTTGAATTATGAAGCTCTGTTTAATTATGTGAAGTTTTAAGACAATTCAAGCATTATCCTACAATCTCTGACTCGGTAAGATAACTATGATAAGATTTTGATAAGACTTTTCTAAAAAATAAATTGCTGTGAGGAAAATGCAAGTATACAACTTATCTTCTTAACACCTATTATGTGCATTTAATTAAAGGGAAAAAATTAAAGCTGTATAGTATTCACCATGTCAAGGGCAGTAGTAATAATAATGGCAGCTTGTTTCAGCTTTTTCTGCTATAGTAAGTAGAGACTTTTCACGGAAAAGTGATTATTTTTAATGGACCTTGCTCCTTTAAAAGCTTTGTTTCCACTTCTGTATTTGTCATAGTTTAATTAACCAGTTACCTGAATTGAATCACTCTTGTAGATACAGAACTCTCACCCTCCTTTTTCCAATCAGAATATGCGGGGATCTGATATGTCTGGATTAAAAATACTGGGTTGATAATGAGTAATCATCTCCATACGCTCTGTTATTCTTCTCTGTTATAATTAAACCTGGACTAAGTTAAAGATTTCATTCTCTATATAGGTATGATTGTACAAAAAGACAGATTTAGGTTTTACACTTTTACATTAATTTGAAAGGCTTCTTAATTCACAAAGTTATTTTCCTATTTTTCATTTTCATTGCATTCAAGCTGAAGGAGACTTGAAACCAAATGAAATTTGAATAAGGCAACTCTCCCTGAGCAATAGAGATGAAACTCTTGGGTTGAGTATAATACCTTCAGAACGTTGATTTTTTCTGTAAAAGTTTATATAAAATTGCTTCCTAAGTACTGTAAATATGTACAGACTGTCAGTGGCATGAGCTTTATGGTAAACATTATAAGCTTAATTTAAAATAGTAACACATAGTCCAGAAACACCAAGTGGATTTCAAGCTACATCAGCAAAGATACAATCTTGAAGTAAATCCCTGCAAAGTGTACACAGGTTTTTGTGTGCATTTTTACAATAAGAGAAATCTACATATAGAGACTTTTCTGTACAGTGCCTGTTTATTCGTTATTTCCTCAATCTTAAACTCTTTTCAATCATCAAGATTAACAATTAGGCTTATTTTCATTAATGACTTGTACCAGCAATGAGTTATATAGTTGTCAATGAAAAATTCAATTTAGCCCACGAGTTTTCTACACTTTCATGCCTGGCTGTTCCAAAACCATTCCAAAAGCTTTATAATTTTCATATTATAATAATGTAGTATATAAATGGGGTCCCTGAATTTATTGAGTGGACATTAAATAAAGTGTTTCATAGCTCTCTGTACAACAGAAGTGAATCTTGCATGGAGCACTGGCTGGAACAGAGGCTTTGCCTTGTACCTCCCTTCCTGGGTGAGCAGTGCCATGAGTATTGTGTGAGCACTTGGAGTGGCACTTAGAGAAGTAGGTTTTTATATTAATATTTCACTACAGTTTCAGGCAGCCTGGGGGTGACCTTATTATGAGGTAGATCCGCCATAAAAAGGTGAAAATTGCAGTAGCATTGCAACACTGTTGGCAACTAGGAATTTTTCTGCTTTTTTAATTGACTAATTGCAACACATAACCCTAGACTTGGGTTTTTTTTTCATTCTTTTTGGATGACAGAATGTGTTCTATATTGTCTGTATCTGCATTCTAGGTTTATCTGCTCATAGCTGTTTCTTGTAAAAAACAGTTTAGAGTGCATAAAATACAGTTCATTATCACATGTAAAATGAAATGTTGGGTTTCTCAGAAAATGGTGGAAGAATTTGCACATATTTACAAAGTTGTACATATATTGGCTACTTTGATTTATCAGACTGGCATTGTGGGAGCCCTTTCTGTGAAATGGAGCCTTACACAGGACATTTTGGCCCTCTAAATACAGAAGTTTGCAAATGTGATGTATGATCTAGGAAAATGTAGAGAGTGGAAAAGAGTGGGAAGAACAGTGAATAGGTAAAATGATATTGTGTTATTTGTTTATGAAATAGGACTACATTGTATTCTGAGAGAAAATATTGCAGGTGAATTGAGAATTGTTAGTGCTGAGAAGTTGTGCAGGGAAGAATGAACTTTACATCACTTAATTTAGAGACACAATACAGTAGAGCATGGTGGATTTACAAGGATAATAAATAGTATAGAGAAAATAAATTACACTTTAAATATGCTTCTCCTATTATTAGACTAATTAGATATTCAGTGAACTCAAATGGTTGCACTTTCAAAACAAGTACAGGAAGTTTTAGGTTTCTTTTTTTTTTTTTTTTATATATGTGTAATTAACCTTTGGAATGTATTGCTACCAGATATCGTAGAAAAACAAAACTATTCAAGACTTAAAAAATATTTTTTAGAAAAACTAAGCTTTTATATATAGAGAGAGAACATGTACAGCTGTTCCAGATACAATCAGAGATGTGTTAACTATATGAAATGACAGTTTTTAGCAATGAGACAAGCACTGATTGGAGTTACAAAGAATCTTCCCTTGTGGGAGGGGTATGTGAGGTTTTACTCTGAGGCTGAGATTTTTGCAGTGTCCTTTGGGGTGATTTTGCTCACCTGCTGCCAGAACCCAAATCTGGTATGCAATCCTTTTGTGTAGTTAGAGTTAGTTATCTTCTTTGTTGTAGCCTCAGAGCTCTTTGTGCTTTGGCATTGAGGCATTAAAACCCAGCAGAATTTATATTACTTAGATGGTTTATTTTGCTTTACATAGCCTTTTCTGCTAGAGAATTAGGAAAGTTCTGTATTAAGTGATATTTCAGCTGCAACAATGACATCTAGGGGCTGATTTATATTAATTTAATTTAGATATGCATCTCCTATTTTTGAGAAGATGGTTACTAATATGTTTACTAAATCTAAATTATTAGTATTTGCTAAAAAGCTGTAAATCTGATATATGTCATATATTCAGAGAATAGCCATGACATTTTTAACTTTTTTTTTTTATCTTTTGTTTCTCTTTGATCTGTCTTTTAATTACTTTAGTACTGCTAACACTGCAAATCAGCGAATCTCTCATTCCTTTGGACGTTGTATTTTTCATGCCATCTCAAACGATGAGATTATTTTCACTCTGTACTTTAGGTATACTTTTCTGTGAATTAAAGGGAAATCTCTTTGCCTCTGCTTTCTTATATGACTTACTCTGTCTCCTAGAATCACATCTACTTTATTTTGTACAGGAAATGAGACCTAAAGTCCCTATATTCAATCCCCTGCTTTCCCCAGCTTTATGGGAGTGTAGACATAGGCTTGACTCCAGATTTAAACCCTGTGATTCAGGGCCACCTCTAAGCTCTACGTAAATCTAATTTTATGTGTGCAAGTAAGTGTATACGTAAAATACGTAATTGCAATTTAGAGATGATTTAACAGCATCTGTCCTATTATTTGCAAACTTACTTTCATTCCCTTGAATCTTAGTTATTTGACCATAAGTCACTTATTTGGAATTGCTTTTTACAGAAAAAAATTTCTATATTTCTTTCTCATGGGCTTCTTCACTTGTATTTACAACTTTTTCTCAGGAATAAGAGAATATAATTTTTTTGCAAAATTCTCCTCGTGCCATTCTGTGGAATATGTTGTACTATCTTCAACATACTGAATTCTCTTGGTACTGAGGAGAAGAGACA